GGCCCGCGCGCCGCGCCGCCGCCCGCGACGCGCCCGAGCACCCACAGGCAGTTGCTCAGCTGCCTGGGCCCGTGGCGCGGCAGATCGCACAGGAACCTGCCGAGCAGCTGCTCGACGAGCGCCTGCCCCTGGGCGTCGAGCACGGGCCAATCTGAGTAGCGGGTGTCCCGCGTGTGCGGCACGCGGCCCAGCCAACATGCGATGTGAACATGATCGGCCAAGGCCCCGTGGTCCGTAAACAGCGCGGCCAGCTCGGCCACAGTCCTCGCACCCTTGATATCGGCCATTAGCTGGGCGGAGGCCTGGACGGCCGGCGACGGCGGCGGCGCGGCTGCGGACGCGGCTGCGGCTGCGGCTGCGGCGGACCCTGGGAGGGCCGGCAGGGAGAGCCGCGGCCGCCGCTGCCGCCGCTGCTCGCGAAACGCTCGCTGCTCCTGCGATTCCTGGTCGTGGTGGTGGTTGTGTTGCTCTTGCTGCTGCTGCTGCTGCTGCTGCTGCTGCTGCTGCTGCTGCTGCTGCTGCTGCTGCTGCTGCTGCTGCTGCTGCTGCTGCCGCTGCTGCTGCCGGCGTGGATGTGTGTGGTGGCAGTCGTGACTGTGATGCGCAGCATCGCGTTCGTGCCAATGCTGCTGCGGCTGCGAATGGGGCTGCTCTACGGGTAAAGGCCGCCTCTCCACGCGCCGCGGCCGCAGGAGCGCGCGGGGGCCTGCAGTGCCCAAGCCCATAACGCCACCAATGGGGAAGCCCACGGCCCGCGGTTCGAATGGGGGAGGCGCCACTCCGCTGACCGCTCCTGCCGCAACCTGCGGGCCGTGTGGGGTCAAGGCAAGGCGCATTTTGCGGCGGACATTGCGGCTGGATGCGCAACATACAGAGGGCAATATGTATTCTACGCACCTGAGGGAGCCGTTGCGTGGGGCCCTGAGCAGCGGCGGCGGCGGGCGCACCGCCACCACTGCTGCTGCCGCCGCCGAGCCGCCCGGCGGTCGGTCGGCAGCACCCCGGGAGCTGCATGCGTTGATGGATGATACGCCTCGCTTTCTATGCTTTCGGCGTGCTCATTGAGGCTCAAGCGAGTGTGGCATCGAATGAAGGTCAAGGCAGCCTCCCTTAGCGCAAACTATAGCGTATCAATGTTTCAATCAATATCAAACATGCACCTGGAAATGGTACAAGCCTCAGACTGCAAAAGCACCGTGCTCCCCGACCGCGCACACCAGTGACCGCTTTGACACTCATTCACACATACTGCGTCTCGATCGAGTGGATCGCGCTGTGTCATAACGGTATCGATAGCATGCCACATATAGATATCAAGGTCTAACCCGCCTGACTGCGCGACTTTGCGGCAGCACACACAGCAGGATGGAACAGGATGCAGCCTGCACAATAAAGTTGCGTGAGCAGCCCATGGTAAGCGCTAGATGGGACTCTACATCCTGGTTGCGCCACGCTCTGATTGGGGTCACGGCCGCCGCATCATATCCGCTGCCCTGCGCTGCCGCCGCTTTGCTGCATCCACCCCTGTCCCCTGACCCGCGTCCCAATGGTGCCCAAATGCCCCCAGGACTGCGATTGCTGCGGTATGGCACCCCTGGTCGCCTCTGGGCTCGTGAACGGGGACGTCTTTGTACACCGTTACGGCAGCGGCGAGGGTGACGATGGTGCTGGGGGCAGCGGCGGCGGCGGCGGCAGCGACGAGGACAGCGACGGCGACGGGGCCGGCGGCGCCCTCGCCGCCGCCCAGCGCGCGCAGCGCGGCGCGAGCAGCAGCGGCCGGCCCGGCGGCAGCATCACCGCGTCCCGCGCGCTGCACCGCCGCGGCAAGGGCGGCGCGTCGTGTCGCGCGGTGCGGTTTGCAGGCGACGGGTCCGGCCTCGTGTGCGGTTACGAATCTGGCAGCATACAGGTGCTCGACCTCGAAACCGGGAAGCTATCCGCACGCTTTGCAAAAGCGCACGACGCGGGCATCACGCGGCTGCTCTCCCTCGACGGCCGCCGCGGCGGCGGCGCCGCCGCCGGCGACGGCGAGGCAGCTGCCGCGCAGCTGCTCGCCGCGGGCGACGAGGACGGGGGCCTGAAGATCTGGGACCTGCGGCGGCCGGCGGGCGCGGGGGCGGTGATGACGTATGGCAAGCACACTGACTTTATCACTGGGCTGACGCAGCGGCACGACAATGGGTTCTTAGTGGCGTCCTCTGGGGACGGGACGCTGTCGGTGCACGACCTGAGGGGCCGCAAGGCGGTGGCGCGGTCGGAGGCAGACGCGGACGATGAGATGCTCTCAGGTGCGCCGGTCAAGATGGCGCCCACCGCCTCCTCGCAAAATTGTCGCTCCTGGACGGCGGCGCCTGTGGTTCATGGTACCGTCTTGCTGCAGCCGCCGGCCGTCTCGGCGGCGCGGGCTGACGTTTGACGGAGCTGTCTGCGAGCAGGCCCGGCCCGCCGCCTGACGACGAACTCCATTTCTCAACTCAACGCGCCCCCGGCCGCCCCCAAATCATGCCCAGTCGTGGTCTTGAAGCATGGCAAGAAGGTGGTGGCCGGCTGCCAGAGCGGCGTGCTGTCTATTTTCAGCTGGGGCTACTGGAACGACTGCTCCGACCGCTTCCCCGGCCACCCAGAGTCTGGTGGGCCGCCGCAGCGCCGCCTGGCAGTGACGTCGAGTGGCGTTGAGCCTCACCCGTCCCCGCCTCCCAGCCAGCTGTGTGCTGCCGGTGCTCATGCTTTCCACAAATTGTTCATGTGTGCCCTGTTGAATATGTTGTTACCGAGTCGGCGTTTGCCCCCCATCGCGCTCACCAAACGGAAGCACACCTGACGCTTCGTGCTCATCCACGCCGCCGCCGGCGCCCCGCAGTTGACGCCCTGGTCGCGTTTGATGAGGAGACCATCATCACCGGCTCCAGCGACGGCGCGCTGCGGGTGCTGAACGTGCAGCCCAACAAGCTGCTGGGGGTGGTGGGGGAGTACAAGGAGGGCACGCCGGTTGAGCGCCTGGCGCTGGGCTGGGACCACAGGGTGGCCGCGAGCGCGTCTCACGAGGCGGCGGTTCGGCTCTGGGACCTGTCGTGCCTGCACGACGACAGCGGCGGCGAGGAGGAGGAGGAGGAGGAGGCGGATGAGGAGGGCGAGGGCAACGGTGAGGAGGAAGGTGGGGAGGGCGAGCGGGCCGCGGCAGCGGCGGAGGCCGGCGGCGGCGGCGGGGGAGCGGAGGAGGGCGAGGGCGGCAGCGGCGACGGCAGCGACTCGAGCGGCAGCGGCGGCGGCAGCGACGGTGACAGCGGCAGCGACAGCGACAGTGACGAGGGCGACAAGCGCAAGCGGAAGCGGCGCGAGCGCACGCGGATGACCAAGGGCAACAACCGGCCGAAGACGGGCGGCAACTTTTTCGCGGATTTGTTGTGATGGTGTTGTCGCAACTGCCTCCAAGCCTTCTGCCGTAGCCACCACTTGAGGAGCGCGTTGGCCCGTGTTGCGATCAATTACCAATCACTTACCCTTCACAAGCATTGCTGCATTGTGGGTTTGACTGAGCGGTGGCTGGTGTGGCTATCGGGATTCAGTGTGCCCCCTGTAAGGCAATCCTGCACACGTGCAAAATGCAATGCCGGGTCTGTGTCAGCTCGACGTCATGCCACAAACTTGTCATTGAGGGTTTTAGAGTCAGAGGAACGGCGTTATGATCAGGTTGGTGCAGTAATGGCAATGTCGCGGCACATCCATTACGTCCAAATATTGGCCGAGGCTGAGCCTGCAGGCTGCAATGTCAGCTAACTCCGCATGGGTTGTCCGTTGTACGTCAGCGCTGGGCGCATGTGGTGTTGGGGCGATGCCCGTGCCATCGCTTGCCGTCCCGGCTGCAGAGAGCCTTCCTGCTGAGAGGTGCAGGTGCCGCTCCTGTGGACGCGTGGTGGTGCGCCGACTGGACCAGGGTTGGGCCAGCAAGTAGACAGCAGTAACATTGACCAGCAGTACCATAGGGAGGGGTTCTACCACAGGGGCGAGGTGATGCCAACGACCATTGATGTGATGCCAAACTTTTCAGGCACACCATCAAACGGGGCTATCACCACTTTTCGGGTTGGTCGATGCCACATAGTCACCCATCAGTCACCCATCGTGGTGCTGCACAGTACTGCTGTGCTCGGCACATGAGCCGCACAACGCTGCGTATTACCGTAGACTGCAAGAGGCGAAATTGGTTATCGTCCTGCACACGGCCTCTGCTTTGTCTACGCCATCTCCGGGACTGCAGTGCCACATTTTCCAGATCAAAGGAGTTCTTTTGAACAATGTACCGCTGAACTATAAACCTTGAGCTGAATTGAGCCTGATACGGTAGCTTGATCCTGCGGCGTTTCACCCTCTGCACCATTGGCAGTGTCAGCATGAGCAACAGATCGATCATGGAAGCTTTTTTGGAGGTGGACCCCGCCAGCGACTTCTCGATCGACAACCTGCCATATGGCGTCTACAGCAGCGCCACGCGCGGCACCACGCGCCGCACCGCATGCGTCGCGCTGGGCGACCAGGTCATCGACCTGGCGGCGCTGCAGCGGGCGGGCCTCTTCTCGGGGCCGTTGCTCAGCAAGAGCCCAGACTGCTTCCAGCAGGTACGTCATCAAATTTCACATGAGCTGGGTTCAGAACCTTGTGGTATGATTAGGTCTATCTCTCCATATCGGCCCTCAAATTCTGCAGACACACCGCATGCTCTATGTGCACGAGCGGCATGCCCGCCCCGTCGTCAGGTGTCCATTGCAGGCTGACGGTGCAAACTGCTGTGATCAGGAAAGCTGTTGATTGCAACACCCCTCCCGCGCCCTCCTGCCCCGCGATGCCCCCCAGGCCGATCTGAACGCGTTCATGGCTCTGGGCCAGCCGGCCTGGCGGGAGGCGCGCACCACGCTGCAGCGGCTGCTGAGCTCGGGAGAGGGCGCGCTTCGGGACAACGCCGCGCTGAGGCGCGACGCCATCCTTCCCATGGTGCGTGTACAACAGGTTTTCAAGGTCAATGGCTGTGGAGGCACCATGCCGCGTGCTGCCATAACTATTTGGCAGGGGTCTTGGCGCGAATTCCCCCGTCCGCGGCGGCCGTTTCTACACCCACGCTCGTTCCCCCGAAACCGCCAGGCGGAGGTCGAGCTGCACCTGCCCATGTCGGTCGGCGACTACACCGACTTCTATGCGAGCAAGCACCACGCCCACAACTGCGGCGTCATGTTCCGCGACGCGGCGCAGGCGCTGCCGCGCAACTGGTGGGCTGGTGTGCTCCGCAGGCCTCGCGCCGAGAGGGCGGCCGGAGTGCTGCTGCGCCCAGGGCAAGCCGCTGTTCGCTCCCTCCGGTCCTGCCATGCAACCGTCGTCCTCTCCACTGCGCCAACAGCCAGTGGCCGGCTGGGCGGCAGTAGCGCCTCACAGGCGGCCAGCCGGTAGTCGCTGCTGTCTGCCACTCTTGATCGTCCCCTCTAAACAGCCGTGCGCTGCCGCTGCGCGTGCCCGCAGGCTGCACCTCCCCATTGGCTACCACGGGCGCGCCTCATCCATCGTAGTGTCTGGCACGCCTGTGCGGCGCCCCAGGTGCGGCTGCCGCAAGGAGCAGGCCGAACCGCCAGCGCCATTCACCCAAGGTGGCGCTGCAGGCGGCCCTTGCCAGCCCCCTGGCTGCTGGCAACCGCTCCTCAGGGCCGCCGTGACGTGGCACGCTCCTGGTGCCCAGCTCGGAACCTTCAAATCGGCACCTTCACCTGCGGCGGCTGGCGCGCCCCGCTGGCGCACATCTGCCTCCCGCCTTCACGCCCCTCCCCCTTGCGTTTTTCTCTGCGCTTGATCTTCTCATCCGCCAAATCCTCCTGCGCGCGCGTTTGCGCAGGGGCCAGGTGCTGTCCGGGGCGACAGACCAGCCGGTCATGCAGCCCTGCGCCGCGGTGGACTTTGAGCTTGAGATGGTGCGGCAGGGGCGGCGGCGGCCTTCCTCAACTGCATCATGATGCCGATCCCCATGCATTTGTACGGGTTGTGTGATGGATGACGAATGGGCTGCATATGCTAGCCCCTCGGTGCATCGTCCCAGCCCCTCAACCCACCTGCTCTGGGGAGCCCAGCAGCTGCAGACAGCCTCGGGTGGCTGCGGGCCGTACGACTGTCGTTGCAGCCGCTGGGTCCATATCAGCACGCCCGCCGGCCCCCCTCAGGCCTGCGTCATGGGCACCGGCAACGAGCTGGGGTCCAGCCTGGCCGTGGATGACGCGGGGCGCTCCATATTCGGCCTGATGCTCATGAACGACTGGAGCGCCCGGGACATACAAAAGTGGGAGATGCTGCCCCTGGGTCCCTTCAACTCAAAAAACTGGGTGGGCGGACGCGGGGCCTGAGTACACGCTTTGCTGGGGCAACCAGGAGTTGGGTAATGGAGGGGGTAGGGCTAGGTATCGGCATTTGTTGTGTAGTGGCAGGGGTCGGCGATGTGAGGGCCTTGCACTAGCACAAGACACCCACGCAGCACATGCATGTGCGCAACCAATGCGAGACATGCATGAATTCACGCTCTTACGCACTGCACTACGCACGGTTATACAGTTGCATATGAAGTACCTCGCACACACAAACACAACTCACACACACACACACGCTTGCGCGCACGCACGCACGCACACACGTGACGCTGCCACGTCCCGTGCTTTCTCCTGCTGTTGTCTCAACAGGCCACCCAGCTGTCCCCCTGGATCGTAACGTTGGACGCCCTGGAGCCCTTCCGCTGCGACGCCCCCCTCCAGGAGCCGGGGGTGCTGCCATACCTCCAGGAAAAAGACAGGTGGGGGTTGAGGGTTTATGGATTACGGTTTTGCTTCGGCGCTTTGAGGGTTTGGCGGGCGCAGGCTGAGTACCGACTGAGTGCCGTGATCTATGGGGGGAGAGCGGGGGGTGCTGCCACGCCTGAAGGGAAAGGGCAGGTGCGGCAGCGTGCCGCTCGGCGCCTCAGAGGTTGGGCGGGCGCACGTTTAGTGTTGACTTTGTGGGGTTGTGGGGGCAGAGCCACGGCGCCTCAAGGGTTTGGCGGCAACTCGTTTGACACCACCTTTGTGTGATTGTGGTTTGTCCGGGGAGGAGCTGGGGTCGCTGGCCGTCCAGCTGTACGGAAATGGACAGGGGAAAACGGGGCCGCATGATGCAATTCTGGGGGGGAAGGGGTTTGAAGGCGCACCTTGGAGGCGCGCGCTGCTGGTGTTGGCTGGCACGTGGTCGTGTGTGCAAACTACTCAGAGCACAAGCCCGGGCCTTGCATCACAATCATAGATGGCGAGCGCGCAGGTTCAGGGGCTGGGGTGTATTTTGCGCCCCTGGGGTTTGAAGAGCGTGCCAACCTCCCCTGCTCATGCGTCTGGGGGAGGATCTAGAGGCCTGCCGTGCTGGTCACGCCTGACAAGAAGACAGCACGTAGCAACAGGGACAGGGCAGGTCAGAGACGGTTATACTCTGTGGTAGGTTGTTGGTTGTCGCAATTCCCCATAGCAGATTCCCGCAGCCAGACTCTGCGTACTCTGTGTTTGGCTGCCGCCCCACAAAGCCCCCGCGACGCGTATCTCGCACCCCACCACTAACACAACGCGGCGTGTGCCAGGCACGGCTACGACATCCGGCTGACCGCCAGCATAGTGCCAGACGGCGGCGACGAGACACTGGTAGCGGACACCAACTTCAAACACATGTGAGGGGGGAGGGGTGCTCTTGCGAGCTCTCGTGTGTGTGTGTGTGTGTGTGTGTGTGTGTGTGTGCAGTGCAAGTGGTTGAAGCAATGGATACCAAGGAGTGAGAACGGCCGATGCTGGCAACCGCCTGCGGTGTGGCTGCCCCATGGCAGCTACTCGGCGCTCGCTCCTCCAGGCCCGCCTGATCTGTCGGCCGACTTGACACCACAACCACCTCTCCTCGCCTCTGCCCCCTGCGCGGCGCCTGGCAACCCCGCATGGCATTTTCGTATTTTACAACAGATACTGGACCTTCCCACAGATGGCAGCGCACCACACGTTTGGCGGCTGCAACCTGCGCCCCGGCGATGTGCTCGGCAGCGGCACTGCGTCGGGTCCCGGGGAGGGCCAGCGCGCCTGCCTGCTGGAGAAGACCTGGGGCGGCAAGGAGCCGGTGCGGCTGGCGGGCGGCGGCGGGGAGAGGTCGTATCTGCTGGATGGGGATGAGGTGGTCTTCAGGGGCTGGGCTGGCGGCGGCGACGGCCGGCGGCGCGTCGGGTTTGGCGAGTGCCGCGGGAAGCTGCTGCCGAGCCCGGCGATCTGATTTTGACGGGCTGGGGCTGGCATGCGTGTGCTGCGCATGTGATGGGAACGCAGGCGTTGACTGGCGAGCAGTCACTGCAATGCTCTGCAGCAGTGATGAATTTTTGACTTGGGTTCGTCGCCAAGACAGCTGCTGTCAACGGATTGTCCATTCTGTCAATTTTCTGATAGCCATACTTGTAAACGGTCTTTACGCGCACATGATGATCTCCCGGCAACCACACCCGGGGTGCAGATTTGCTAGCAGGCAGCCGCGGGTAAAATCGAACCGTATTTATGCAAATTTAACTAGCAGCAGACGCGGCCAATGTGTGGCGCGGGCAGGTGCGCGGCTGATGTCGCGCGGTGCGGGCAGTGGTGGGCAGGCCGCGCAAGGCACGCGACACTGACGCGCATGCCTCGCACCCGCAGGCGGCGGGGGCCTGTTTGGCAAGCTGTTCGGCGGCGCAAAGGACAATGACAGTGACGTCCAGCAGCAACAACAGCAACAGCAGCAGCAGCAGCAGCAGGCAGCCCAGCAGGAGCCACAGCAGCGGCGGCAGACCGAGTTCCCGCCCTTCCAAACCGTCAGCAAGGGAGACGTATATGACCTGCGGTTCTATGGGCCGTACCCCGTGGTTGAGATGGACTACCGGCGCAGAGAAAATGCGTACCTCACATTGGGTGGGCGCTGTTTGCCGGCCAAGCAGACGCGGGTCGATCCGTGGGGGCCAGAAAGCACACATTGCAACCCCTATGTCATCTCGCCGCTCCACGCCCACCCTGCGTCGCATGTTTGCCTCTGCCCAGACTCAACCACCAGCCACTCCGTGGCTTGAAAATGAGCACGGCTTCCCACCCTCGTGCCCAGGGGTGCGCAAGCGTGTGTGCGCACGCTTGCTCACGCGCTCCAGCTCACCCTGCCCCCTCAATCTGTCAAAACTCGACCTCAACACCCAGGGCAGTACCAGGATGGCGCCAACGTCGACCGCGTGGCCTTCTCTTTCACGCAACCCGTGGTGATGACCTACCATCCTGATGTGAGCGGGCAGCCACGGCGCGTCGCCTGCCGTCTTCCTCCACCCCGCCCAGACGCTGTGGTCGGCGGCCTGAGAAGTGCATGCGCGACAAGCTGCTGCCATCCTTGCGTCTGCCCGCCATGGCGCTTGACCATCTCTTGCTGCACCGACACGGTTCCAGTTTCCTTGCCTTGAGGTCTTGGCCCCCGCCCACCTCCGCATTTCCGTGGCTGCGCGCCGCCGGTCAACCCCCCAGGGCCGGAAGGAGATGCAGATGATGGTGGGGTCGCGGCGCGACGGCAGCGGCGACGGCGGCGCGCCAGTGACGGCGGCGTCGCTGCCCGCGCCCACCGACCCCAGCGTGCGCCTGTCCGTGGCCGGCGGCGAGCTGGCGGCCGTCCTGCGCTTCGCCGGGTACATCACCCCGCAAACTGCAGAGGCGGCGCGGCAGCAGCTGCTCGCGGCGCTGGAAAAAGGTGCGGCGGTGGCGCGGCGGCAGGCTGGCGGGGCGAGGGAAGATTGGCTGTGCGCGGGTGCTGGCGGGGGCCGGCGGAGCGGAGCTCGATATGAGAGTGGTGGTGCTGGGGTTGTGAGGGTCGAAATTGGTGTCGTTGATTCAAGTGAAGGCACGTGGCACATTTGTCAGGGTGTGATGGCATCGGCTGGCAGGCGTACACAATTGTCTGCCCTGGTTGGTTGGTCGCCCCGTCTCCTTAATCGCAGATGGCCTCAAGCTAGCAGAGGCGGAGCAGGGCGGGCTGTTCAGAGTAGCGCAGTATGGCCAGGTGGGTGCCGCGCAAGTCGTCACCCGGCATACGGCACAGCCCAAAGTGGCGTTCACATCTTGCACCGCCCACTTGACTGCGGGGCCGTTGTCGTGGCACGCACTGCCCATCGCCTACCAGCCTGCGGTGGGAGCACGAGTGCGGAGCAGGGGCATGTGTACATTGCGCAATCGCAAGAATGGCTGCTCCCCTGGCGCAGCAGGTGCCCGCCCGCCCCTGCCTCCAACAAGACTCTGCCTCCACCACATGGCCTTGCGTCGGGCTGGCCACCCTACACCAAAATACACACACACACACGACCACACACAACCACACGCAACCACACACACATACGAACGCACACACACGTCCTGCCCTGCCCTGCCCTTGCCCTGCTTTGTCCTGCCCTGGCACCCTGTACCCCACCCAGGTGTACACCCTGGAGGAGCGCGTGAACGAGGTGATGCTGCGCGTGCAGCTGTGACGCGGCGCTGCTTGGAGTAAGAGTGGAGAGGAGTTGCAAACAACAGCCTGTAAGCTGGACTTCTTCGCCAGAGTACCGGTAACGCGCTGATGATGAAGCAATTGATACCAGTACGCCTGGGATGAGTTTGGATCTTGCGTACTCAGCTGATGTAGCACAAGACTGCCGACCTGGGCGGGCAGGACAGCTGAGGAGTGCGGTATGCGAGTGGGGGTGCAGCTGTGTTTCTTTCGCTCATCAGAGGCTAGGCTGGACTGGGCCAGAAGCAGGCTCAGTCTATTGCAATCCCCACAGGCAAAAGATTGCTCGCCTGTCAGCTGAGCACCCCCAAGGCGCCTCTCCAAGGACCGACGCCTGCACTTCCGACTGGGTGACGGCAGTCAGTGGGTCAACAAAGCGGTGCTTCACGGCTATGCACTTCGCTGCACGCCCCCGAAGATGGCATATGAGTACGTGCCGCCGCGTTTTGTTCAATATTGCTGGTCCACGACGTACTGCACCCCGCACAAACTCGATGTACCCCAGAAAGCAGCGAATGCTGCGGGATGCGGAGGACGAGGCCCAGTGTCTGAAGCCTGAAATGTCTGGTAAGTACAACTGGCGCCAGACAGCCCCCCGGGGACTCCGGTAACTCGAAAACACCGCCAGCAACTGACGTGAAGTGTGCCGATGCACGACCTGCAGTGCGCTTATCGGAGCTTTCTGATGGAATGGATGTCGCCAACGTGAAGGTGATCAACGAGGTGGCACGAGCGGCCGCACGTGCGGCGTGGCGGTGACCCTGGTGCGACAGATCAGGAACAAAGCAGCGCGCGCTGCAGCGGACGCGCCGCCCATCTCAGTCTGTCCCTCGCCCAACCCCCTTTTGCTGCTGCCGGTCACTCAAATAGGAGGCCAGGGGCTTGATAACAGCGAGGGAGGACGAGCTGCACGGGCGCGCGTTCGAACTCGACGCGAAAGAGGCGCGGCTGGATGCGCAGGAACAAGGTGGGGACAGCGCACGAACGCCCCGGCCTTGGCGCCGCCCGACGGCCGACATGCTCGGGCCGAACCTTGCATGCTGTGTCATAAGCCACAGTCAGCATGACTACCGTGAGTCAAGCCCCTGCAAACGTGACTTGATGGTGCAACCCTCACTCGATACCCCATTTGCCACCCAGCCTCTCCCCCCTCAAACTCGCCCGCACCTCCACCGCCCTGCCCACCACCTGGCTCCCCCCCCCCCACACACACACACTGGATCATACGCGCGCCTGCACACACACTGCGTCCGCCTGCCAGGCCCCGTCGTCGCCGCGCAGTGGGCGGCGCTGGCTGCCGAGAGACAGGTCCTGGCGGGCCGCTGGATGTGCCTCGCGGAAGACAAGAAGGCGCTGGCCGTGATGGAGCGGCGGCTGCGCACCGGCGACGACCCGGAGCCCTTCGAGCCAGGCAAGCCGCTCCTCCCCCTCACAAATGCGGGTGGGGGCTGTGCATTTTAGCCAGCTGCAAGCCCGCGCCGTGTCCGGCGCTGCGGCTGTCAAACCGGGCAGGTCTCATGCCTCACGGCCAGGCACGCCATCGCGCGATACGCCTTGACGCAACAAGGGCGTCGCCCGCCAGCTTGCCGTTCGCGGAAGATCAAAATACTGTAGTAGTGTGTTTCTGGTTGCGACGGGCGTGCGCGTCGAACCTTCCACCCTCGGCGCCGCCCCGCCGCGCAGGCAGCCTGCCCGTGCAGGACGTGCGCTGCGCCATCATCGCCCACCAGGTGGACGTGCCCTTCTGGAGCTGCTGCTTCCAGCGCTGAGCGGCTGCTGCTCCTGCTGCTCCTGCTGCTCCGCTGCCCCGCCCTCGCCGCCGCCCACGGCGCCGAGCGGCTCGCTGCTGCCAGAGCTGCTGTTGTGCATGGTGCGCTACGTGGCGGGCTGCGGGGGCCACCCAGCTGACCCACTGCTGCTTCAGGGGCGGGGTGGTGCACAATCAGGGTCGCCGCGCTGCTTTGCTTGCCGGACGGCGGGCGGCAATGCTGCTGTGCTGCTTGCAGCACTAAGCGACTGAGCAGTTGGGACGCCGCCAGCCGGCGCGACGTCGCCGCCACTGCTGACAAAGCACATTGGCCAGCGGCCGCCGCCTGGGGCGGACTCTTTCTGCGTGACTTGGCTTGAGCACGTTGTCCCTGAGTCGTTTTGAGTGCTGCACATGTCTCAAATTTAGTCCATATTTTGGTGCAATCTGAGGCAATCTGGGGCTTGGCCGTCTGCATCCACAGGGCCTTCTGACTTCCTGTGTGCGGCAAAGCTGCACCGGCACCAGCTGGGCGCTTGTATATCCTGCCATTGCATTTACACCTGCATACAATTTCTTTCACACCTTTTCCATCCCTGTGATAGCAAATGTAAATGACACTTTGACTTTGGAAAATGGAAGCGTGGGGCTGCCCCAGTGTCTGCCCTGAAATTCTCGATGGTGGGTGCAAATTAATTGACCAAAGGGTCGCCTGTCAGCATTCGGGGCACGCCCCCCGCCTGGCGTGGCGGCGCTTGGATGCAGGAGCGCTGACGCGCTGGTGCGCACGCACGCAAGCTTTCCCCACATTATCAGGGACATGCGCCTGCTCTTATTGCAGAGAGGCCGGCGAAAATGAGCAGCCCCAACCTCTTATCCAGCGGTGAGCTCGGACCGGTCGGCGCGCTCCCTCGCCGCGGCCCCCTGGAGAGCCGCCAAAAACTGCGCGCACCCGCACGGCACCGGCAGGCCCGCGCCCGACGCGTGCGCGAGAAACGGCAGCTTCCGCAGCGCGCGGCCGCTGAAGCCCTCCGCCTCGGCCGCCGCCCGCCGCAGCGCCCGCCCGAGCGCCCGCAGAGCCGCCAGCTCGCCGTCTGCCGCCGCCGCCGCGCCTGCGCCCGTCGCATCCGTGCACATCGCGTCGCTGCTGCTCGGCCGCCGCGGCCCCTCCTGCGCCCCGTCGGCCCCGCCGCCGTTGCCGCCACACGCCGCCGCCCCGTCCGCTGCTGCAGGCCCCCCGCACGCGTCCCCGCTGACGTCATGGTAGTGCGGCAGCTGCCGGGAAGGCGGCAGGTCCCCAAGCACGCCTGCGCGCCCGAGCTCCTGTACTGCCGACCGGAGTACCTCGTATCGGGCGTGCTCCGATGGCGGCCCGATGTAGGCCTGGGCGGGCGAGGTCAAGGTGCAAGGCGGGGTCGGCGACAGAGCGGCTGCAAGCTCTGTGTGTACGTCCGTATGTGCCTCCAGAGAGAGGATGAAAGATTGTGTGTGTGTGTGTATTTGTGTGTTTGTGTAAGTGTATGTATGCGTGCGTGCGTGCATGTGTGTGTGAATGTGTGTGTGTGTGTATGTGTGTGTGTGTGTGTGTGTGTGTGTGTGTGTGTGTGTGTGTGTGTGTGTGTGCGCATGCTCGCGTGCGCGCCAGCATGCGTGCCTCAGGGTGGCTGGAGCACAGCCGAGCAGATGTGTCAGCAGGCAGAGCTGGGAAACTGAAAAAACTGACACGCTCCACCTATGTGCCGATTCTAAGCACAGAAGCATACACATATGTGAATGCAAATGCATGCTCACCTCCCATCCCTCCCCTCTCCCCAAAAAAACGCATGCCTGCGCAAGCATAAATGTATGCATGCTGACACACCCATCCATGCACACACGCTCACGCGCATGCGCATGTGCACGCACACATTCTAACACACATAACTCACACAAACACACACAATCTAGGCCCAAAATGCACCTTGATGTCCGCTCTGTCGACAAAGGCCAGGTCTATCGCCTCTGTGATGTTGCTGGTCGTAAGCACCATCACGTTGGGGTGGCGCCGCAGCGCGTCGAGCTGAGTCAGCAGCGCGTTGACCGCGCGGATCGCGTCGGAGGGCTCGCTGCCGCTGACGGCTGCCTGGGGGGGGGGGGCGGGGCGGCCCCAGGGCAAAGACCGAGGTGCTCGCGTGTTCGCTCGCATGCAGGCATGGGAATGCGATCTCGCACTCTTGGAAAAGGGGGCAAAGGCAGGCGCGAGCGGCTGCTTGGGCCAGCAGGACCAGAAGCGGGCCCGGTGTGGCCACTGCCTTGACGTCAACCCACCAAAACCAGCGCCTGTCCTCGATTTCACGCGGATCGCACGCTCGGCCTACCGCGCCGCAGGGAGCGCCCCAGCGGGACAGCGCCACAGCCGAGCCCGCCCCAGGGCGCTCTTGGACGCGGCTCCCTGCCCCCACCTTGCGCGCGCTGGTGAGGGACTCGACCTCGTCTATCAGCACAAACACCAGCGCCCCCTCCTCCTCCACCAGCTCCCCTATTTTGTTGAACAGCTTGGATACCTTTGGGCAGGGGGAGAGACAGTTTATGCTGGCGTAATCGAAGTGTGAGCATGGCTGTATGCGTGGGTGGGGGTGGCGGTTGGGTTATGAGGAGAGACGTTCAGGGCAAGGCGGGTGGCGGGGCGGTTACAGGTGGGCAGGGCGGGGAGCACGGGGTTTGTGCGTGCAGCCGAGCGGCAGCACCGGCTTGGGGGCCTCCCCTCCTGGAGTCAGGAGGGGAGCAGCAGGCAGGAGTCTGGGGGCCTGTCAGAGCTGCAGGTGGGCAAAGATACGGCCCGAGCAAGTTACGAGCGGCTGTCCACACAACAGCACAGGCCGCAAACCCTCTGCCTCGCATCGCTCGTGTGAGGCACGAGGGGCAGTGACGCCTGGCGGTCATGCGTAAGGAAGGCCCTGCTGCAGTCGGCTGACGCGGAATGACCAGTGGCTCGCGCGCCCGCCCCTGCAAGCAGCTGCGCCGCCGCGGCGCCCTCACCAGCTTGCCGCTTTCGCTGAACCACTTTGAGAAGAGGCTGTGGGCGTTGACCTCGACCAGCTGGCCGGTGGTGTACCTGGGGGGTCATCAAGGTGGGGTGGGGT